CACTCAAATCAACCTGGAATGGCATTTTGTTTTTGAAACCAACCAAATACACCCATGAATTAAAAACAGGGTTGGAAACGAGGACATGAGGGGAGGAGGGTGTTTGCTTGGAACAGGGATTTTTCTTGCACCAAAACAGGTGACAGCTCCAACTGGGGCAAATTGAATGGTGTTCTTTGCACTCTCCTACTAATCAGCTGTATAGGGTACTGACTGATTCATAGGGTGTTTAAGCATGTTGAAGGTTGGTAGATTCCCTCAATTTCCCCATTCAAAGTTAGGCCTTCCCTGTATGGCCACCGTTTGCTGTTGGTTTGTAACGACTGCTAATTTGGGCAAGCCGAGCCGAGCCAGCACAGCAATATTGGTTCATTCACTAAATGATTGCCACTAAGCGAACTATTAAAGAAGTTTATCCACTACCTTTCTTTTTCCATCTCACTCTTATGCACTGTAATAAAGAAGTTGGGTTAATTCACGGCGCAGCTTGATGGGGGCCGTCTTTTCCCTTCCGGATGTACCCTAGACTTTTGTTTTGCACTGATCTGTGCAAAGTCTGAGTAAATTGTGACTCTAGAAAACCGCCCGGTTTATCTCAGTTAAATATCTTACTGTAGTACTTCTTTCAAGGTCGACGTGAAAGCAGAGAAGGAACTTTGAAGGGAATGTTTAAACCAGCTCATAGGAGCGTCGCCCCCCTCACCATACAAACAAGTCCGAACCAGTTACTCAGGCGCGGCGTTTCTTCTCTCCCCCCCCCCTTTTCTCGCTCTCTTAGCTACCAGCTGAAGGTACATCAAGCAGCGAGCAACAAATGGAAAGGCGGAGAGAAATTAGACGAGTCCAAAGTCTTTATTGCGGTGCGGCATAACACCCGGGCTTCGGAAAATCTTTCTCGGCTGAGCTCCGTAACTTTTCCAAAGAGCGAGGAGGAGGAGGAGGAAGAAGAGGAAGGAGGAGATAAAGCCTCCGCTGTTTAAAGCGGGGAGGGGGGGCGTCGCTGGAGAGTGGAGATGACTTTATTTCTTCCGTAGTCAGAGTTAGGGTGCTCCAGCTAGCTAGGCGAGTCCCCGCGGCGAAGGCGGCGCGTTTCTCCTCAGAGCGTCCTCCTTTCCTGAATGGGGTCTCCCCGGAGGAAAAGGCTCTGCCTTTTGTTCCTGATAGGATTAGTGCTCTCTGTCATTTTCCTCGGACACTACTACACGGCGGATTCTCCCCTCTGCGCCGGGACTTCGGCCAGGTAAGAAGACTTGGAGAATCTCAAATGGGAATGTTTCAAAATCAAAGGCTGAGAAAAAAAAAAAAAAAACCCCTCTAACGCTGTTGGTGGCTGGAATAGGAGACTTGCTCGGAAGCCAGGACAGCCACCCTGTCTGTTGGGTAAGATGAGTGACGGTGGGGAACAAGGTGTAATTCGGTTGTTGTTTTTTTGAAAACCCACAAATGCACAAGCGTGCCATTGAAGTAGCACTTTGCACCCTATGGAGAACAAAGCGCTCAAGGCAGCCGGGAAGGCGGTATGGGACTACTCCTTACGTGCTAAACCAGCTTCCAGTTTTCCAAAGGAAGATGTTAACAAAGTAGTCAGACCCATAATTCAGAGGACCTATTTTGTGTTTTCCTTTTAAGCTGAAGGATTTTGAATGTATTGTAATGGTATTCGGCCTTCCCCTAACCTCCCGTCCTGCAGATATGTCTGGACTACTGCTCCCAGAATGCCCAGCCACCATGGCTAATAGCCCATAGTGGCGGACAACTGTAATCCCAACATATTTGGGAGCAGCAGGTAAAGGAAAGTTGTGGTAAGTGTTAGAATTGTATGATCTCATATTTGTGGTCTAGCCCTGAGCAAAGTAGTACATTCCATAATTGGTTTGCTTGTAATCAAGAATCTATGTAGGTAGTTGCAAATGGACTTAACACACTCCTTCACTTCAGTGTTGGGGAAAAGATGCAGAAATGTAATGGGATGTGGTTCATGATGTTTCAAAGAATATGGTCAAGAAGAAGTCACATAGTGTATATTATTATTATTGATTACTTTAGACAGTGCTTTTTTTGTAAAAAAAAAAAAAAAAAAGTGCCGGAACTTACACAGGTCATACAACTTGCCTTGCCTACCCTACAAGGTTTTACCTTTGTAGTTGAAAAAAAACTCTTCAGTTTTTAGTGTATCTAAAAGACAAGAATTTTGTTCAAGGTAAGTTAATACTATTAATGTTACCATGCACTGTGTGGCTTTAAATTACAAGAAGGCATTTTATTAATCTTTTGGGACATTTACCACTGGCATACCCATTTAGTTTAATGAGTGGAAATGTCAGCTTTCCATGTGGAATGAAATTGGCCCAATAAAACAAAATTTGGTTGCTTGTAAAAGATTGAATTATTTTTAAGAAGTTGTCAAGGTGGAAAAATTTACATTTGGAGTTTAATATGGATAGTGACTTGAAACAAATTAAAGTTGAAACTTTGTCAGTGAACAGATTACTTTTAATTTACCTCTAATTTAAACCCAGTTTAATAAATAGATCTGATTAAAGCTTGTACTGTAGGTCTACTTCTACATCTGACCAATACATAATTAATATATATTATTAATAATTACACCTCAAAATTACAAGACGTTGGCTTTATTCTTATTCTTCCCTTCTGCAGTTTGAATATAAAGAGATTTTCGTAGACATCCCAGCCTTTGAACTACCCAAGGAACTGAAACAGCAAAGTTTTGCTGTCGGGCAAGCTTCCACGCCAGCTTCGTCTCTTTTTAACCTCACATCCCACCTTCTGTAAGGGAAAGCAAAAGGCTCACTCACCCTCTCGTGAAAGATGGCCTCTATGTTTATGTGTCTCCCACCGCCACCCTCGGCTTCCACACCACATGGTCCGACCCAGCCAATCAAGCCATGCTCTGGCTGTGGTGCTCTGGTGCCTCATGGCTCCTCCTAGAGGAGGCAGACAGCGCTGGAGGGGACCCCACTCGCACCGTACCACCAGCGGGGCATTTCCAAAAATAAACGAGGATAGGAAGGGAAACAATAGGAAAAGAACGCAACTCTGGAAAATCCGTCGAAAAAAGGTGCCAGAACTCCGTTCTGGTGCGTTCTATTTTATTACCAAGGAGCGTTTAAACATTTAGATCAGTGCTTCCCAAACTTGGGTAAATTATCCAAAATTGGATAAAAGTGGTATGTTCTTTTGGGTAATGACGCACAACCCCATTAACCAATCACAACAGGGATATTTAAATGGCCTTAAAGTGTTTTACCTACATTGGGTAAAAAGGGCTTTCTGATAAGCGGTTTTGGGTAATGAAGGAAAATATTTGGGAAGGACCTCTTTCCTCTTAAATTATTGTATTGTGTATTCTGTTATATGTGCCTACCTAGAGTTTGAATTTTTGGAATTTTAAAATGAGTGAAATAGATGATCCAGCATACAGTATTTGGAGATCCCTAAGAAAAAATGGTCTGTGGAGGTTCCTTGTGGACAAGATACTGGTTTTGTTTGTAAATGACCGTGACCATTTCTTTACCTACTCTCCATATCACACACACAATACATTTTTATGAAATTAAGAAATGATTAAAATGTTATATCCACATGAAGATGTATGAACTAATATTTCCTTATTTCCTGCCAAGGCAGCATTTGGGAGCAGTGTCTACTCTGATTCTTACCACATTTCAAAGCAGGATATAATTCCGAAAAGTGTTATTTTTAAAAATGAAAAGTTCTTGCTTGCTCTGATAGACAGACAGACACTATATACACAAATGAATAAAACCACAAGTGAACCTTTGTTGAGCCTTTTATTTCCTAGATGTCAGAAAAGCTTTCTGCACCTGTTTGCTGACTCTTGAAAATACATTCAGAGAGGGAAGAATATTCCCATTCTTACAAAATATGCCTACAGCATGACCTGTCTCAGATCCATCCTGGCTGTACTCCAGTTGTGCAATTGGTTATAACCTTGGTTTCAACCTATCTAATGGAGGGGAATAACTACAAAAACCACAACAGCACAAAACCGTCTGATCCTAGATAAAATTTCAAAACAGTATCTCTTGAGTGGATTCTGAACGAAAAGTGCATGAGCTGTATGAGAGAAAATCAGTTAGTGTAATGCAGGCCTAAAGATAGGCTGGGAAGCACCTATCTTTGAGAGCAATAGAACTTTCAGACTTTGTCATGCTTATCATGTATAGTCTCCCATTGGCCCAGATACTTGTCATAGAATAACAGAATTGCAAGGGCCCTTGGAGATCTTCTAGTCCGACCCCCTATTCAAGCAGGAGATTCTGTATTCCAGACAAATAGCTGTCCAATTTCTTTTTAAAAATCTCCAATGATGGAGCACCTACAACTTCTGGAGACAAGCTGTCCCAGAGGTTAATTGTTCTCTCAGGAAATTTCTCCTTAGTTCTAGGTTGCATCTCTCCTTGATAAATTTCCATCATAGAGTCTTTTGACTTGAAGAGCACAGTTGTCCCCTTACTTGAATGGACTTGTCCTTGTGATTCAGGAGAAACTGAAATCATGTAGTGTTGTAAGGCAGGGGTCCCCAATCCCCGGTCCATGGACCAGTACTGGGCCGCAGCATGCCAGCAACAGTCCGCACAAACAAGCAAAGCCCCATCCATGGGATGCGGGCAGCACACAAAACCACGCCCCCTCTGGTCCGCAGAAAAAACTCTCCATGGAACCAGTCTCTGGTGCCCAAAAGGTTGGGGACTTCTGTTGTAAAGAACCCATTTATTTTAGCTATCTTGCAACAACATCCCAGATAGGTCTTTGGCACACATAATTTCTGTGTTCTGATTCTAATGATAGCATCTGTAATTGTCAAATTTTCTGGGATAGCAATCAAGATGTCATCAAATAATATGATCCTGGTTATCATAAATGTAACTTTTTATATTCTTGTATATGCTAATGGGTATGGATTACTGATTTTAATAAGAATGTAAAATGAAGTGCACTGTTTCAGGACTTCAAAAGGATTTTGGAGATTTACTGACTGTTCAGTTACATCAAAACCCAAGAAGTCATACTGGGAAACCTTATTCCAGTAATATTTTGATAATGTTTGTACATAGAATCTGCAATATCAAAAAAAAAATAGTTTACAATCCTGTCTGAATGGATCAGCACTTTAAGCTCTCTGTGAAACTGAAGGGAATGAAGAAATTGTTCCTTTATCCTGGTCATCATAGTTTGACAGAACCAAAAGGAATTCATGATTCTTTTTTCAATGTAAAATGAATTTTATATTTTAAAAGATCATATACTGTAAGCTCATAATATATTGGAAGTTTTGGTTCACTCTTCTACCATTCCATTTTTTAAAAACTTGTTCTTAACTTTTAGTAGTAAACAAACTGTTGAGCAGATATGGGATTTCAAGTCTGTAGTGTATTGCATAATCTCTTTATCGAAAAGTTACAGAGAATCCTCGTCACATGTCTCAGAAGAGTGGTGAAGTCTGATACGCTAGTATTTGTGAGCAACCTTGCTTTTATTAAGCTTAAAGCATGCTTTTTAAATGTGGGACAATGAGAGAAAGCGGTATTTTGCAGATCTCTGTTAGGATCTGCTGTGGGACTAATGCTTGTTTATTTTCTCCAGGAAAATGAAAGAGTTGAAGCTAAGAGCAAGACTGATCCAATATCTAAAATGAGAGTATTACATATGAAATGCAAGTTGGCTCAGGCGGGTTCTGTTATAGGGCTGAAATGCTGCTAAATATTCATGTTCAAGCCCTGTTTAATTTAGTAGTCTTCTCATTTGATCATAGTAATTATTATTTTTGGATTACAATCTTAATTCCACTAAAACAATTTGAAAAATAAGTCAGGCTGAATGATAGTGACTGGTTCAAACTCACCACTGACTTTCCCTAGTTATGTATGGACTTGAACCTGCCTCACCTTATTCCCAATCCTACATGGCACAGGGCCTGGATATATTTACCAGGTCCATCTGTCTCCAATTATCTCTGCCCATCCTACAAGATCTGGCAGGGTTGGTGTGTTCCAGGTCCATCAATTTAACAGTGTCACCTAATGGGACTTATTTTAAATAAGCAGGTTAATAGATAAGCAGATGCTGACAGGGAAAGCCACCGTATATAAATAGGGAGCAAATCCCGTACTTACTAGTACTGATGATGTTGCTTAGTTGAGTATTTCAAATGTCTGCAAGGAAACAACAAGCTCAGAGAGCACCAAGGACTCCATCTTTTAAGCCTTTCTTATAACTTCTTAGAGTTGTTTGGTGAGTGGCAACCATGTCATTTGAATTAATAATTAAAGTAATAAAAATAAATTACTCTTACCACCTCTCAGTGTCATAGTAAAAAAAAATCTATTGCTGGATAGGTCACAGTAAAAGAATATATTTGACTTCTGTTGTGTTATGTTATATTGAAGTTTAAGAGTTTATAGTGAAGTTAAGAATAGGGAGAAAAACAAAGAAAATGAATTGTTTCTGTCTTTTTTTTTTTTAGTCTGAACTTTTAAACTGAAGAAACCATACAGATTTTGCTAGGTCTTTCAGAGCTTTCCTATTAAAGCCTTCTGACTTTTTTTTTTTTTTTTTTTTACCATAAACAATTCATGATGGATGAAGTAAATTTGGCTCAGAATTGCAGAATTGCCTGAGGTCTGCTAAGAAGTGACTTATTAGTAATTCTTCACTTTGCTGACAAAAGACCTGTTTTTCATCTTAGTTCCAAAAAAAGTGTTTTTCATTGTACAATGCATACTTAAAATGTAGAAATCACTGCTATCCGATGTGGGGTTGTGACCAGTCAGATAGTTTTAAAAATATCTGGACAAATCAAGGAAAAATGATCTACTACTTCTAGAACAAACTCTTCAGTGGCAGTCCCTATTTGTGAGCTTCTTAAAAGCATCTGTTTGGCAATTGTATAATACAAAATCTTAGATTAGATTGGCTGTTGCTGTATTGCAGTTGAATTATTGGAAGAATTATTGAGAGGAAGATCTAATTCTGTAGGTAAAAGTACAAAGAATCTTACAAAAGCAAAAGCAGCCACAGGAAGAGGGGATTTGAAGTAGAAAAATACTCCTACAGCAGTGGTTCTCAACCTGTGGGTCGGGACCCCATTTGGGGTCGAACGACCATTTCACGGGGGTCGCCAAACAACGCAGTCTGCCATTTTTTTTCTCCTTTTCCTTAGCTGTGCTACTCCCTTTTATTCTATTGGCTTTTGAAAGCCAATAGAATAGACTCTCTTGAATAGAGTCTAATTCTATTGGCTTTCAAAAGCCAATAGGAATTGTCCAGGCTGTCTCTGCCCTGCTGAGCCCGCCAAAAGTCCCATTCTGCAAACGGTGCTGCACCAGTTGAGTAGTCTTCGACTTACGACCGGTTGGGGGTCGCAGCGTTAAAAAGGTTGAGAACCACTGTCCTACAGAAAGATAAATGATTGAAATTAATAAGCAATTTTTCCCAACTCTCTAGTGCATTGCTAAAGGTATTGGCAAAGCATGCATCTCACTGCTTTAAATACATGCCACTGTTTGTCTCTCTTTCATCCAGCTTACTAGATCCAGCCATCTTACTGTTTGATTTTTGCTCTCTTTCACTTTTAAACTTTCCTAAAACTTCCATATGTCCAGAAACAAGCACATGGCCTTTTGCCAGGCATGCTATTCCTTATCTAGTGCTTTTGTAGTCTCCCTGAGCTATTGCAGCCCTATCTTGGTCTCCCAGCTTCCTTTTTCCATTCCCTCAAGCCATCCCCATCTCTTTCTGCTTGCCTCACTGCCATTCTCAAAACCTTTCCTTATTAGGTAGCGATAATGAGATCTGCCTGTCCAGCTTTTCCTTTCTTTTTTGCGTGTCAGAAAATGCTTCAGAACAAAGCCTTGCCTCCAGATGCCTACCATCTTTGATTCCAAAATGGCTTTCTACTTCCATCTGGGGAATAAAATAACAGGTGGCTAGATGCCAACCTTTCACTTTGAAGCACTCCTGCCACCATTATTTAAAAGAAAGTGTGTATAATGCTTAATGAATTCACAAATTATGCTTAGTGGAAAAGGTGAAGGAGGTATACAGTTTTGCTTCCTTTGGCTCAATTGTCGATAAAGACTGATAGAGTTCTGGAGAAGTGAGGAAGACAACAAACTTAAAAAAGTAATATTTCTATTAAAGATAATACTTTTTAAAAATAATATTTTATTAATTTTCCAATTTTACATTTGAATATTTAAAAAGCAACGTGGTGATTGGGGTACATTAGTTCAATAACAGAATCTTAGTGCAAATCTCAGGTAACAACATCGAATATTTCTTCTCTTTTTCCCTTAACATTTACTGTCTCATATTCAGGTTAGTACATTCCTAATTACTGTATATCAGCTCAATAAGAACATTATTACATTTATCAATAGATATTTAGCTTATACATATCTTAATTACCTTCAATCTTCATAGACAATCCATATCCTGTTATTAATTTTACTCAAATTTTAATTTCTTATCAATATTCCAATTTAACCTTTAATATTTATAATTTTCAGACTTTGGGTAACCAAAATTTCCCTTATCTCACTTCATAACAAACTATAATATCCAAAATACATATTTTATCTATTTGAATATAATCTTGTTTTATTTCCTAAGAGTTATCTATTTCCCATCATATTTAATCATCTACTTAATAACACAATATCCCCTTTAATAAATCAAAACCATTATATATATTGTCTGAGTTAATCAATAAATCAAACATATTCATAATATTTAACTTTCTTTTCCCCTTTAAGTCCAATTTTTAAATATTAAGCCGATAAATCCTTATTTTCAACTAGTTTCCAAATACTTTTGTGACAGCAAGAATCAGGACTGTAAACATAATGCTTTTTCCAGTGAAAATTTAGGGCTATGAATGGTGGTCATTGAGAGAGAAGGAGGGAAAGGAGATGAAAGACTTTCAAGGTTTGGATTTAGAATTGATGGGTTCATTGGCTGTAGAAGGACTGTAGACTGCGAGATGAAACAGCCAGTCCCTCCTAGATGAAATATGAATAATACCGGTTTCTGAGGTGATGATCAGTAAACAGATTTCATCGGTTAAAGAGTTTCGATTGGCAGGGCCCAGGAAGAGGGCTTTCTCTACCATTGCCTCTGGCATTTCAGATGATTTTGAAGCCTGGCTCTGCCAACTCACATGGGGCTCACTGAGCTACTAAATCCAAAGCCCTGAAATGGTGCCTTGTTCACCCTATTCCTGATCTAACTTTTAAATTATTTTAGTCTCATGCTTTATCTGGCTCTTTTTTTGATGTATTGTATTTTTATATAGTTTTTAGAGGACTTTATTTTTAATTGTACATTCACTCTTTGAGGGAGATGAACAGTAACTAAATTGGATAAATAAATAAATAAATGTGTAAACTTTGGGCATCTGATCTATGGCAGAAGACGATGATGACATGGATGAGACCAGTTATCAAGGAGAACATATAAATATCCATGTATGAACTATGGATTATTGTCATGGACAGGTCAATATGATAGACATTTATCCATAAAACCATTAATGGTTAAACCTGGCTTCACAGAGATAACAGGTAGTCTTCAACTTAAGAATGGTTGCTTAGTGTCAGTTTGAAATTACAATAGACCTCCCCAGGAGTACTTTTGACCTGGTTCAGAAGTTCTGATGGCCATGTACTTCCCAGTCATATGACCACATTTTGGGTGCGTGGCAACCAGCCAGCATTTATGATTGTTTGCAGCATCCCATGGGCATGTGATTGCTTTACAACATTTTTTTGCTGAAAAGTGGCATTTACTTCCATAGACAGTTGATTTACTTAACAACCACAGTGTCTGCTTAATAATCATTGCAAAAAAAATTTTTTTTTTAAATCAGGTCAGTCACTTGATTTACGACCATCACGACTTTATAACCCTAATGGGCAGACTTTATACAGTTGTAAATCGATGATTACCTGTATTAGCTGAGCACTTTGAGAGGACAGTAGCAGTTATCTGTCAGCATCCACATTACCCTGAACACTTTTTTCTGTGCTGAGGATATCCACAAGTCCTTAGTAGGAAGCAAGAGAAATGCAGGATTTTGCTGAAGATACATGGCAGGAACTATCCAACTAACTTACAGACTTCATGTAACATTATCTGAACTAACTCACCATGTTGCATCTGTTCAGGAATGGGTTGTACTTCAAGTAACAAAGTGAGATCTGTCTGTGTCTCATTACTAGAGTCACATTTGGAAAAGTGCTCTCAGGGACATTTCCCGACCCTTTAAATATTAAATCGGGTTTTCCTCAGCTACTATTTTTTGTGGAGAATAATAGGCAGTATCTCTAGCATATCATCTAGTTTGCAAATTTATTTCAGGACCTTCATTTTATCATCTGGCATCACCAGAAATTAATTTCTACCTGCTTGTAGTGATACAATCAGTTCTGAAGAAAAATGACAGTCATTTAGACTGAACTTTAAAGATGCAAAAAAACCTCTCTCTCTCTCTCTCTCTCTCTCTCTCTCTCTCTCTCTCTCTGTGTGTGTGTGTGTGTGTGTGTGTGTGTGTGTACACATATACTAAGTGTATGAATGAGGTAGTTTGTTTTTGTTTCTAGGTCTCATGACTTCTTGTGAAAAGAGCTTCCCCCAACCATTTTTAATAATTGAATTATATACTTTAGGGCAATCTTTGGATCAGAGATACATAAGATGCCGGGAGGGAATTCAAACTAAAATAGGTTAGTATTAAAACATCCACAAATATGCTTCTGATGTCTTGAGATGGAGACTAGAATGCTCCTCAAAACTTTTAAATGCCTTTGATGTGGCTTTGGTATTTCTTATCTTGTGAGTCAACTTACATGTGTCTCTGAAATTTTGATAGCCAAAATGAAGAGTGTAAGAACTGTAGAATCCCCTTTGGCCATGGTATCCAAGAATCTTTAGACTCTTAAAGCAAAATAATAAAAGCCCTGTAGTGCTTAGAGAGTTACAAGTTTTTCATAGTGCTGTAACTTATACTAGCATATATCATGGAGGTCTTCTAGTCCAACTCCCTGCTAGGCAGGAAACCCTATACCATTTCAGACAAATGGTTGTCCAATCTCTTCTTTAAAACTTTCGGTGTTGGAGCATTCACAACTTATGGAGGCAATTTGTTCCACTGATTAATTGTTCTAACTGTCAGGAAATTTCTCCTTAGTTCTAGGTTGCTTGATTAGTTTCCAATTGCTTCTTGTCCTGCCCTCAGGTGCTTTGGAAAACAGGTTGCCCCCCCCCTTTTTTTTTTTTTTTTTTTGGTCTTCATGGGCTGGAAATTATTCATTCCTCAATAATTGTTGCCTGAATGTTTTGGGTTTTATTTTACTGTCCTATTAAACTGATGTGATTTACAACACAAATGACTCTCCTTTTTTATGCCACACTGCAGAAGAAAAGCTTCCATATACTGGCTGAAAATCCAGATTACTTGGGGAGTACCATATTGTAAAATTCTGCCCTGCTATAATTAACTAATTAGATTACCATTCTTCCCCATCCTCATTTTAAAAGCTGCTAAGCCTGCTTCTGATCACAAAAAAATATGAAAGTGTTGATAGATTTCAGATATACTATATATCACCAATCTTTTTATCCCTGATCTGTACTTGCTGTGCGATTCTAGCAAACCTAGTTAGGAACACCAACCTTCCATTTGCCCCAGACTCTGATCTCTTTACAATAAACATTGATCTAAGCGTTTATATCAAAGTTTAGCAGTTCATTCATAGAGTGATTTTTGCAAATGTGCTCATTAAAATCAGTCAGCAACTTAAAGTAGAATGTGTGTCTCATGAAATATTAATTCAAAGCATATATTTTTGGGAAGACTAAGAACAACATAGACAGTCAAGAATTATGTCTAAGCCAAATTTTAACAGTATAAGACAGTGATGGCGAACCTTTTAGAGACTGAGTGCCCAAACTGCAACCCAAAACCCACTTATGCATCATCGAGTGCTGGGTGGTGTGACCCATTGGCTGGGTGTGGCCCATTAGGTGGGAGTCGCTGCAGTGGTAACGGCAGACTGGGTGGGACTAAAAAGTTCAATCAATCAATTCCAACTTTGCAAGATCTTTTTTTTCCCCTGCGAGAAGTTGAAATTGATTGAACCTTTTTTTTTTTTGCACACGGCGGCGGAAGTCTAAAGCGAAAAGGTTTTATAAAACCCAGCTGAAGGCCTAGGACTGGGGCGACGGCGCACGTGCCCACAGAGAAGGCTCTGAGTGCCGCCTCTGGCACCCGTGCCATACATTCGCCACCACAGGCATAAGACATCAGTGTTCATTTTTTCTTAATGGAGATTCTGCTGAAATCTTATATTTTAGTTCTTGTTAGTTTTAAGTTCCCTCTAAAAGCATGGAAATGGTATGGAAGATGCTTGAGCAAGTCAAATTATTTTAAATTCTGTTTGCTACTCTAAATAAATTTCTCAGACATTCCCTTACGCAGTGATACTTTCTTCACTTTTTTTTTTCCTCCAGGAAAAAGAACTTGATCAACTCTGAGAATCATTGGCAACACATAATATCCAGAGGCTGTGCTCCAATTTGTATATTTCAACTAGTTGTAATTACCATTCTTTATACATTTGCATAAAAATGCTGCATGCCATTGAAGCAGATGAAAATACTACAGTGTTTCAAGAATATTTAACATTAACTCCAAATATGAAATCCTTCTTGGATGTTATTGGTGACAAACCAGGGTTATGTATACAGTACATTTGTTTCTACAATGCCATATGGTGTTTTTATTCAATCTAGTGTTTGGGACTGGAATTTTTTAGATTCCAAACTACCATTGGCCATACTTATTGACCATACTTAAAACTATCTGGAAAATATTTGATATCGAATATTTAAATAACTTTAAATATTTGATATCAAATTAAACTGATAATTTAAATATTTGATATTATTTAAATAACTACTTTAGTGTACCCCTTGTAATAACTACTGCAGACTATGTTAAACTTTCCATGACAATGAGTGGGGTTCCTTACGTTCACAAGAAACAGGAACAAGGCAAATATACATCAACCATCGTTTACTTTGGTTGGCTTTCTCTCTATCATGAAATAATCATAGCAAGAAGCTGGAGTGTCATTCATCAACTTTGAATAACTCGGCATGAAAACATGTGCTTGGAGTAGTTAATTCTCAAAAATAAGGTATTTTGAAAATAAGAGGAAATCCACAATTTCCTTTAATATTGATTGAGAGCCAACCAGAGTGGATTGTAAGATAGCAACTATATAAATATTTTAAATAAGCAAACAAGCAAGTAACAGAAGGGCTAAGCAATATCTGGCCTCTCAGATGTAGAACTCCAAACTTACAATAGCCCCAGGTTTTATGGGCACATATTACTGGCCAATAGCTACAGCTTACTTACCTAAAATCTAGAGAGTATTTTTGTGCTAATACATAGTTGGAGTTTTGAAGGTATATTATAGTTAGTTTCTGAAGATGGCTGCCAGAGTGGGTGCAATTAATCTGAAAAAAAAATGCCCAATTTCCCAGACAGGAAACTGACTGAAGTTGTTTCTGCAGCCGCCACCATTATTATTTTATGATCAAGTTTAAGGGCCTATGTTGAACTTCAAGATGTTCTTGGAATTAAAGTAACCATGCAGGCTGGTGTTTTGCTTTGTGGTGTATTATGGTCCCAATTGATTTTTAACACGTTCAAAATACATATTTACAACAATGAAGTGAAATAGGGCTGTTAGGCTTCAAAGAAGATAGTTGTGGTCATTCATAGAAGCTCTGTTAGATTTCCATTGCTTTGGAAATTCAGACTATTTCATTGTTTATCAGATATCTCTTAACAATCACTCCTCTGATCCTAACAATTTATCCAGAGTTTTGTATTGGTTATGTGAATTATATTAAAAATAGGTCTATTGCATTAATGTAATATAAATAAAGGTCTATATTATTCCAGCATTTTATTTATCTGTGAAGAGCTTTCAAGCAGGAGATAGAGATATACCCTTAACTTGAATTGGGAGATTTCATTGATTCCAAGTTTGGCAGACATAGATCGATCTGACCCCAGTGAATTTATTCAGTCCCCTTTATAAGTCCTACAAGATTTTGGGACCATCACTGTCTCATACTAATGAATTGCACAACTTAATTAAGGCTATTGTCCTGCAATCAAATGCCATTCAGCTGCATAGGCCAGCATGTCTTTGAATTCCCAGGATCTGCAGAAATCCAGATGACTGCTAAATGGCAACAAGGAGATGATTTTCCTATATGTCTTTGCTTTCTTCTAATTATGATCAGGATTTTTGCAGCCCAGATCTGGTAGTCATAGCTGTAGTTCAATATACTTGGTAAGTACCGTAATGAAAAGTTTGATAGGAATAACTGAATTTTCAGCTCTGACAAAATTATAAAATTAAATGAATACCAATGTTATAAAATGTGCCAGCATCTAGGAAAAGATTTATTATATCATACATATAGAACAATGCATTTTTATAAGTGTCTACTCTGTACCAGTTAGGTACTGTTACTACTTAGGGACACAGCCAATTGTGGACAATTGCCAAGGTCATCTTGCCCTAGACATGCCTCTAATGGTTTATTTTATCCTTGTGAAAGTCATGGAAGCCTGTTTATCATCACAACACAAGCATAGTGATGATTATTTTTATTTTTTTAACTTTTGGCTCATTACCTGTTTACTGTCAGCTTCAGTCTTTGAAATTAAAAAAAGAAAAAGAAAGGACTGAGTGACTGAAAGGAGATAAAGGTCTAACCTATAATTACCATTAATTAAAAATAAGGGTTATTGGTGTGGATGGGTGCTTTTTCACTTTTAGCATATTTTAACAATAATGCCACGTTCTCTGGGGACTGGGAAATGGCTACTACCCTTTTTTATTTTTAAAGGGACAGTGTTGAGCATTAGATATATAGACTCATTAATCTGTTGGACATAATTATTTAGCTCTATGCTAGATAATTAAGTTGGAGTTTCCAGGATTGAATCAGGAAAATAGATTAGAAGAGAAGCAAGCTGGTTTAGAATTGATCAATCCACTACCATTGATTGGGGAACTGCATATGGGTAAAAACATTCCATCAAGTCCAAAATTTCATAGACTTTCTTGATTGTCAGTGACAACTTTAGATTTGATCTGAAGAGAGATCCTATGAGAAAAATATACTTCTTCTTGTATGAAATACATAAAAATACAATTCTGATGTGACCTACAAAACCATCTACATAATCAGTTTTCAATATAGAAGAAAGCTAAATAGCTTAGTCTATTAGCACTCTCTCTTTTTCAAGTACTTTATTAGGCATCTTAAAGATTTGGACTTTAGAGACCCTTAGTTAGATGGGAAATGCCTGTCCACCCCATTGAGGTTATGACCTCTCCCAGTATCTTCCAAGTCTTAGGAACTCCTTAAGGTCTCTTAATCAATATTGTGCCACTACTCAATTTTGAATTAGTTATCAAAAGGCAAAAATCAATGGTCTTTGCTAAAAGACCAAGGATATGCAAACTCAGTATCTATGGTAATGTTATTGATCTGGTTAGATGTTTAAACCCCTAGGTGCAATATTTCATAGTGCAAAAGGCAAGAAGGCTCAAGCCAATTAAGTGACCTCGTTTGCCAAAGAGAAAGCAGCTGCTCTGCACTTTTTCCACTTGAAAGGAGTTGATTTTGTACCAACAGCTATAAAGTTGTTTGTGACTAAATCACTAGCTCAAGTTTCTTTGGGGAGTCTAGCTAGAGTAGTTTTCCTCTTTTGCCAACTTTAAGAGAGTTCAATTTAAATTTCTTAGGGCTCCTTCAAGCCTCAGATCTGTATCTAATACACTTTTTGCTTGAAGCTGAAGTGCTGAACTTGCCTGTCCAAGATTAGCTGGCTGGTTAAATTTATATCAAATGCTATCTACCTTTTAAGTATTTGGATTTTTTAAAAAAATAATAATAATTGGGCTGTTTTCATAGCAGTAGTTATTCAGACTTTGGGGTATTATGCCTCCTTTCTTTCCCTCATATGTCGACAGATTTAACAGTCTAGAGTTACGTTATTCATTTCCTGACCCCCAACAGTTGTCTTCAATCCATCCCCTTCAAACCTATGATCACTCTTAATTTTTGTACTACATTACTAATCCTGTGTTTATATAGTGACATTTGAAAATTGTATTGTTGGTTCTATATTATTACTAGCCAATGTTTTTGAAAATAAAGATTTGTTGGAAAAATATTGCAGTCAAAAAACAGTATTTTGTGAAGTCTAAGAAATTGAAATAGTGTGTCCATCCCTCCCCCATTTGTCCTTCTTTCCAGTTGCTTATTGGGTAACCCTAAGTTGGTCTGCCTTTTTTTAGTATTTACTGGTAGTAGTCAACTTGAGTGAAATTGCATGTATGCTTGTTCTCCAGAGCTGCTCCTATGATTTATGCAGAGCTCCCCCACCTCCAAATTCAGAATTTGGGAGGCCCAAACCCATTTGAGAATCAGCCTTTTGCCTGTTTTGATTGGCCTAGGTACGAGCAAGGGAGCCAGTGTAGTCTAATAGTTAGGGTACCAAGCTAGAAACGGGGTCACCCATTGTCTCTGAGTCCTAGGAAGCAGGCAAGGAGAAACAATTTCTTAAATCTTGCCAAGAAAGCTACAGGGAGACAATTCTGACTTAAAAGCCCATACCCAGATATTAGAAAACCTTTATAGGGGGCATGTTTTAATATACCGCCATTTACTTTCTTTATTTCATTGCCAATTACTCAACTATATTCAATAATAGATTTAATTATTCCCTCCTTAATGAACCCATTTCTCCTTGTGATTTTGGCATCCTGGAAATGGTTGGCTGTATTGTCTTAAGCTGTGATTTTTTAAAAAAATATACAGATAGAAACAGTGGCTTGATGTTGCCTTTTTAATTGTCTCTTTCTGGATATTCCTATGAGTTTTTTGCTTTTATTTTCTCTCAGTTAAGCAGCCTGTTGTTATATATAAGGTAGCTGGATTCTCTAGTAAACAAGCCAACTAAAAATTATCTGCTAATAGGTTGCATGTCTGCTTTGTGTTTTATCTCCTGGATAAATTTTGCTGCTTTCTGAGGTTGTAATTACCATCTAAGTGATAATAGAGTGAATTTGTATTCCAGAGCTAAAACTATTTAATATTCCCTCCAGCTGAGATCAACTTCTAGTGGCAACATGGATATGTTTGTGTTCTTAGGAAAAGCATGAAGATGATTTGGCACTGCCTTTCTGAAGGATATTTTTAACTTCACAGCCTAGTTTATAGTCTTGATTCCTCCATTTTTTCATCCACTTGGATTTACCTTGCTTAAGTCTAGGGGAATCTACCTTAACTTGAAATCATTCTTAATTTTTATATATTTATAGTCTCTAGGTCTATGGAATGGATTTCTTAAAATCCATTCTAATTGTTACAGTTTAAGGACTCAACTTATTGTCAATGTTTGTGTGGTTAAGAGCTATACCATGCAGTTACCCAACTAGGCATAGCTTATCTTCTAAAGAACAGTATTTTTGATAGAAGTTTTTTGTATGAAAGGCAGCTGCCAGATCACTGAGGTCAAAGCACAAAAGCAGTTAACCAGGACATACAGGTTTATAAACTAGCTCAGTTGTGTTAGGATGTAGAAATTTTTCTTTTAGAACCATTTACTGCTGGCTTCTACTTATGACACAAATACTCCCTAGCAACATTTTAAAAATTTTGTCACCATGATGTTGCTCCAGTTATTAAGCAACACAAACTTTGCGTAGCGTAGCTTAACTCAGCTTCACTCAGTATTTTTCAAACTTGGCAATTTTAAGATGTGTGGACTTCAACTCCCAGAATTCCCTAGCCAGCATGCCACGTTTCAGAAAACCTGACTTAGCTGTACCATTGATAAAATGGTATTTTCCTCCTTAAACTGACAGCTGTTCTTTATGTTGAAGATCATGACAGAGGACTGTTGGTGAATTGGATCATAGCAGTATTGACTATTTCAGGCTGATTCCGGGCATCTACCCCTATCTGGCTCGCAGTGAGCCTCATTTGCAAATGCCATGATTCTGATCTTGGACACAGTAACATTGTGTTGGTTCTGTGTTGGAGTTGCACAATAATGCTTCATTGCTCAGCTAGTGTTATACATGCTTTCACTATACAGTCAGTGGAATACTGCTTCCCCACTCAGTCTCCCAAATAGAGCAAGAAGGAATGGGGAATATGCAGCAAAGAAAAGGAGAAAAATTCAAAGTATTCTTGTGGTTCGACTCCCTTTTGTGACCAATTTTTTTTCCAACTTTAATCAAGATGAATTACAACAGAAAGGTAGGTGTTGATTCATTATTAGAAAAAGCTTTCCAACAATAAAAGTGGTGGAATTTTAATTCTTTTCTTATTCCAATTAAGAAAATATTGGACTGTGCGGAAATGGATAGACTCACATTGAGAATCAAAGGAAAAGAAGATACAGTATACTTTCAAACATGGAACTTATTTTATCAATGGTTGGAAAAGCGGGATAGAGTGTAAGAACTTAACTTTTATGACTAGGCAAAAATTAACTCAGACAACACCTTTTTCAGTAAGCACAAATGAATTTTAATGATAGAAAACTAATAAAATAGTTTTAAAAAAATTAAAAGTGATGGAATCAATCACTATGGGAAATGGTGGGTTCTCCTTCATACTATATATATATTCTAATGGGGCTTTGGCCTGAGTTGTTTAATAGGGATTGCTGCACTGAACAGAGAGATGATCTCGGTGGCCCAGAAAAGCTTTTCCAGCTTTATACAGATAATCCTTATTTAATGACCACAATTGGGACCAGCAATTCAGTAGTTAAGCAAAGCAGATGCTAAGTGAAACAGTTTATATAAACTTACTTCAACTTTCCTTTGCTTAGCAGACTTGCAAAGGTCATAAATGCAAGGATTGGTCATAAAGTTATTTTTTTTGACACCATTAAAACTGTGAACAATGGCTAAACGAGGACTACTTGTAATTCCTTAGAATGGACTGCCTATCTACTCAATTTCAGCTGCAGCCACCAGGATTTGGTGGATTTTTCCAGACTAGCATGATCTGTACTGTGGAAGAAGGAGAACAGCAGAACTCGACCCGCTCAGTTTGCTTATCACATGTTGTACACATATCACAAGGAGGGCACTGTTTGACAGTCAGAAAAGATGCAGTGGGGCCATGAATCGGCAAATGTCATGCTGGTGTACTTTTCTGCTGACCCAGGGATGGGTCAGTAGCTCTATAACTCTCACAAGTGGAGAAGAAGCTTTAAGGCACAAGCTGCTTGAAACCACACATATTTTTGTTCAGA